AATACGGAACTCATGAGTCATGCCATTGTAAAAGGTCTGCATCAAAATCCAATCTGGAATGCCATAGTGAGGGCATTGTCTCTGCAATCTTTTAAATCTCCTCTAAGCCTCATAGAGAGACTCATCATCTGACTGCTTAAAAGTTTGTAGCTCATTCCTCAATCTTGCAGTCTTTTCATTCCCTAAAAACTTCACTAGGAAGGCCTTCACTAACTTGTCCCATGTATCGAACGAGCCAGTGCCTTCATCTCTTAACCACTCCTTTGCCCTGTCTTGAAGTGAGAAGGGGAAAAGGCGTAGTTTGATTGCATCATCTGTGACACCATTCAACTTCATAGTATCACATTTCTCCAAAAAGCTATCTATATGGCTTACGGGGCAATCGTGTGGTAGCCCTGCGAATGAATCATTGGAGATGAACTGTATGAACTGTGGCTTGAGCTCGAAGTGTTGAGCCGTGACTGGTGGTCTTATGATGCTTGAAAGGACTCCGGTAGTCGTATCAGGAATACCGTACTCCAAGAGGGATTTCGTTGGTTGGTCTACCATGTTTCTCCTGCGTCTGTTCCTTGTTCTCCTTCTTCTTATAGTTGCCTCGATCTCAAAATCAAATAGTTCAAGATCTTCTGAACCTGAGCGACATGTGGGCATGCACAAGAAAAAAAACTAGAGAAAAGTATCAAAAACACAAGGGAAAATAGCCGAAGCAACGAAATAAACTTAGTAAAGATGAATCACAAATAATTCTAATGAAACCGTTAGTCCCCGGAAACGGCGCCAAAATTTGATAGGCGTGTTGCGTACCTATCAAAAATAACCTAACAGACCAATACTAATGTAGACTGGCAAGTAAGGGTCGGATCCCAAGAGACTAAGGTTCAGAAACAATTAATTAGACTCAAATCTTTACTAAGCAAAAATAAAGTATAATCGATAACTAAGGGTATAAAATATAGGAAAAATTCGAAAATAAACTAATTAAGATGATTAAATCAAGCAATTAAAAACATCCAAGATGTAGCTTCACCACAACTATTATCGATGCAATTGTAATTCTACCCTTAACATACGATTTCAATTGAACGGGGAAAAGTAAACCCTAATATTACCAAGGATCTCTCTCGAGTATCAATGGCTTCCCTAACATACAATCAATCCTATTCTCATGGTATCATGCATATTAGAGACATTAAACACATTACTCTCACTTCCCAATTATCAAACCCAACTACTCTCGTGTTGAGAATCAAACCCTAAATTGATTTACTCAAATTCGTTTATACCCAACTCTCGCTGTGATAAAAACAATGGAATAATCGCAATACTATAGTTACGTCTAACCTAGCATTGGCATAATCACAATCAATTTAGCAATTCAATTGTTAAGGTTGTTAAAGAATTTAAAGATTTAATTCATGCATCAATAATAATAGGGCTACACTAGATCTTGAATTAAAGAATCTACTCACACATGATTAAAGAAACAAAAACAATAATAAATAATGATAACATAATTAAATAACAAAGGATGAAAAGTAAATACCAAATCTTGAATAAAATTGAAAGTAGAAAGCTTGAATCTTTAATTACAAAAACTTGGAAAATTAATGGAGAACTAGTTCTTAAGGAGAAAATAAAATAAAATAGAACAAGGCTTAATTAATCAATAATTCATCAAGAAGAACAAACTAAAGAATATATACAAGCCTAAAAAGACAAGAAAAATCGGCCAAGCTTGGCGCACAAGATTTCCAGGAGGCACGGACGTGCCCCTTTCTAGGCACGGAGGTGCCTCTGGGCGTAGCAAAATTCATCTAGCTTCTGTCTTCCAGGCACGAACGTGCCTGACTGCTGGGCACGGACGTGCCTGCTTCTTTCTTTAGGCATGGGCGTGTCTCCTTGTTAAGCACGGGTATGCCTGCTTCTTTACCTAGGCACGGACGTGCCTAGGGTCTTCCTTTGGCGCAGCTTCAAACACAGAGGCACGGACGTGCCTAATGGGGAGGCACGGCCGTGCCTACCTCTAAAACGCCATTTTCTTGACTTTTCTTCAATATCCAAACTCCATGGGCTTTGACTTACTTCGTGGATCTATAATTCATCCAAATTAGCTCCATTATTCCTGAAAATCATCAAAAACAACAAAACTACCCATAAAAGCATCGGATTATCCAAACTAGAGCAAAATACGCCAAAACGGACTCAAATACTCAACTAAACTAGCAAAACTAACTAAGAACAAGTCAAATAATATACACAAAACACAACATATCAGTTACCCCACCCAGATCAACCAATATTGTACTTTCAAAAAAACCTGAGGGGAGTGTTCGAAATAAACCTGATTTAGTGAAGTATTTTAGGAACACCTACAAACTTTACAATGGGATATACCAGCCTGTGCAATCCATTAGAGCACATTTCCTCCAATCAATGTGCTGCCACACTAATTGCATGCAATTACAAGATGACAGGCCGATTTCGGGACACCTTCCTCTTTTAGAGGACTTGGTGGGTTGCTACGATGAGAGAGCTTGTGTCATGTTGTATTGGCTCATAGAGAGGTTCTATTCCTCGTCGTCTCCGCTTACAGTACCACCTGAGATAGAGGAAGTAATTGACTTGAAGCCCAATCTTAACACCGACTCCATAGTTGGTTACAGTTTCCCCACGCTTTGGCGCCACATATTTGTTGGCTCTTTCACGAATACCCTCCACCCCATGACGGTCGATACTACTAACACCCATCTGAGGTTCCAGGTTGAAGGTTGTACCTTTAATCCAGGCTTAACCATCGCTGGCCCATTCGTAAACGCTACCACCGTGTTAGCTATAAAGGAGAGCATATTTTCTCAACCGCAGAGTATGGCGTAGTCGATCGGGGTCGCTCATTCTATTTTGGAACGCCCGAGGGTGCACAAGGCCCTCCTTTGGTGAGCACTTCGCGGCCCTACACGAAAAATATAACCCCATGCTGGTCATCATTTTGGAAGCTCTTATTCGTAAACATGGCGCGAGCAATGCGTTGTTCATAACCTCCCAGGTGAATATCAAGCAGAGAAATGTGGTCCGGAGTCAAGGCCTGGTGGAGTTATGATGTTTTGGAACCCAAATATGCTAAGGGCCAATTTCTTGCACAAATCGAGTAAGCCAAATGGGTTGCTTGTTGATGTTGTTTTCCAGGTAATTTATTTGTTTTATAATATTGTTTGGAATGTAAGTTATTTAGCTAAATAAATGTTGTTTGCAATTACAGGCTCCACCACCACCATCATGGCCTCCACAACAAGTTGAATTGAACAATGATCCGTGCAGCTCGGATAAGGAGGCAAATCCTGGTAGTTACTACTTCAATTCTGGTTTGGCTTTTGATGGCTCCATCCACCACTGCGGATTTGGAAAAGACCTATGATTAAGATGCTAGGGATCAAATACTACTCAATGCTCTGTGTCTTTGTTTAATTAGTATTGTAGTTTTATTTGCCTTTCCCCAACACTATTTTTCTCTATGCCTAAGACTATGTTTGATTATGCCTTCACTATGTTCGATTATGCCTTGACTGTTTAATGCATATATTAGCTCTGAAGTTATTACAAATAGGGGGAACCTTGAATATTCCACTTAACTGTGGTAGTGGTACATTTAATTCTCCGAAAATGCAGCACTGAAATCACGTTGGTACATTTAATCATGGTGGTACGTACCTATGCTGTGTACATACTACGTACCTATGTTGTGTACATGAATAATGACCCTTTCCTATGCATCATGTGTACATACTACGTCCCTATGCTATGTACATGAATTCAATATGCACAACTGCAATCAAAGTGGTACGTTTGGTACTTTTAATTGTACCACTAGAAAACCAGTGCTCGGAGAATACTGACCCTTTCATTAGGGGGAACCAGTCCAAAACTTGTCATCTCAATGAAGGGTGAACTGTAAATAGTGGTTGGATTATGTTCCATGTTTTGTTTTGCGTTCCTTAGCATTATTCTATGAATTATGGATTGTAATCGTTGCTGTTATTTTACTTAATTGCACTTCTATCCTAATTCATGAATACGTTGACGGATCAATGGTACAAACAACACCATTTTAATGTACCATTGCAAACACAAATGACACTTGTACTATACCATTGCGAACTAAATTGTAAGAATATCATTTACATTCCACCAGTGGTACTTGCAATGTACCTATGGCACTGTACATTGAGTTTAAATTACCCTGTTCATGTAAATTGCAAAAAGTAATTAAGGTACAGTTGCCGCATAATCTGCAAAATGCAACAAAACACCTAATGCAGACATCACATCAAACACTTAGCCATGAGTGGATAGACCACCTCCTCAGCCAAAGCAACCTCTAATAGTTACCCTTGAGTGGACAGACCACCTCAGGGAGGAGTACGTTTGCTAGCAAGTGTTTAAGTGTTCATTACACAGTACTTAGAGCCAGCACAGTTCAACCCCATAAAATAATTACACCATCGCCTAGGCCACTAACATAACACATCACAATTTTCGTGTTGTTTTCCTAGAAACCTGGAATCAAATCCCCGAGACCATTTTTCAATTCGTTCATTTCACACTGCACGTCGTCCAAGAACAAATTTGCCCTAACATTAGCAATCTTCCCCTATAAATGTATGAACAAACACTATAGCCAACCACTTCAGAGATTTTAACACAAAACACAGTTATATATAGAGTTGTTCAGATCCGGGTACCCGGATCTTTGGGTAGTTGATAAGTCGGCCCTTGTCCCGTCCCGGATTTTATTTATTTATTTATTTTAATAAGTTTGTACCTAAAACCTGCTGTACTTTTTTTTAAAGAAAATCTGTTGTATGTTTAGTTAATTACAATAATAAACCTGTTTCCTTTTTTTTTTAAAAAAAAAACTACTGTAATTTTTTTAAAAAACCTGCTGTTATTTTTTTTAAAAAAAACCTGCTATAAACACTAAACAATACAACATGTACGCCTGTATATCCTGCAAAGTAAGTACCTACTGTAAACACTAAACAATACAACTTGTAAACACCAATGTGGACGGCAGAACATGTCTGAATACACATGTCTAGTCCAGAAGACCAAAAGACACCAATGTTTAAATTTAAGTCAACAATTAACAACCTATGTTACATAACATTCAATCACTTGTGAGATCCTATATTTCCATTGCCTCATCAATAACAATCGTCGGTTGCTCCAAAACCAAGTCTTTCATTCCTACAAAACACAAATAATGCAATAAAATAATTACATATCACATATATTATAAACTTTACATATAGATGACAGGTTTAACAATTGCCATTTCGGTTCTAATCATGTTTGATTCAAATCCACAAGTAGTTGACAACATCACACATCCCTAAGATCACTAACAATTGCAAATGTTTTGATGTAGAAACTCTAAAAAAAATGGATACATGATGCAAAAATTTGTAGTTTTTATATTGTTTCTTAAGGAAATTCCATCTGGTTACCGAATGTAAGAGTCTGAAGAAATAATCGAGAAAAATTGCTACTTCCTAATCTAGGAGTCGAATGTATGAGAAATTGGCTTCAATTAATGCAAATAAAGCATACGAGTCCAATTCCCAACAAATTAACCTAAGAAAGCATACTAGTCCAACTACCTGCATCTTACTATATACCTTAATTTCAAAAATTAAATGATCCCCCAAACATAATACAGTACCATTACCACACCTATAATGCCCAACGAGCCATCCAAGGAGCTCAACAAAATTACAACATTCGAACCCTTATAAGAAAACTTTTTATCTAAAAACCCTAAAACAAGTTTGACCTAATCAAACCACATAACAGAATTTCAAGAACACGGGTAACCCATTCATGGCTCTATCAGACCATATATATACACACATGCAACAACCCATCAAATTCCTAACCCAAAGAACACCGACTCCACCATCCATAATCAACAACACAACAAATTATAATGAACAAAAATTACAACAAACTAACCTAAGGTGGTGAGAAGATTGAGTGAACTAATGAAAATGAGCGGGACCACGAAATGATTTAGATCTAGCAATTGATGTTAAAGAAAATAATTAGATTAATATTAACTAACTAAATACCATGAAAAAAACTTCAAAAATACCACAAAAATAGTACAAATTAAACTAACCTGATGAAGTTTGAGAATGAATCGAGTCGAATTTTATTGATTTTTTGACGGAATTGATTGAATTTTTAAGGGAGGAGATATCGAGATTGAGGCGCAAGAGAAAGAGAAGAAGAATTCTGAGGTCTGAGTAGTGTCTGACAGTGTTTTTTTTGTTTTTTTTGGGGAATATTGGAACCCTAGGTCTAACTGTCTATTTGTCTAAGTGGGTTGGGCCTTAAATCCGGTAGTTTCATACGATTTTTTTTTTTAACGAGTATCCGGGTACCCGAAAGTAGCAAAGCTTGTCCCATGTCCTGGCCCACGAAATTGCTATTTTAGCGGGACGGGTACCCGACCCTGCCCATCAGGGTTTTTGCGGGTCATCGGATAATCGGGACGGGACAACTGGGTCGGGTTCTTTTGAACACCCTTAATTATATACACCACTTACCACACTAAACCTCGTGGTGAATATTCTGGCAAAGAACTTAACACACGCCAGCATAAGAACACCACAGTATGAGCTGCACATTGGAGGACAACAATCAACAAAAAAGTTGAACATACGTTCTTTTGACCTTAAAGCTAGGCTAAAAGTTATTGGCACGGTAAGCAAATAAGGAAACAAGTGCTTACTTATCCTTTGGCTCTAAGATCTCAACAGTGCATCTCGTCCAAGAATGTAGCTGACTAGTCTTCCATGCTGGGTCACAGAGTCGAAAAAGGACGTCGATACCACTAACCTGTAGTTTGACAAACACATTAAACATAAACAAATGGGTCCCAGTAAATACCATGTTTGTTTAGAATGAAAGGCATTAGTATTAGTACCAGAAGATCAAACTCTTTGGCATGTGTGGTGAATGGGTCAGGGTATATAGAATCTATCATCCACAACTGCCGAGCCTTCATGTCTAATGCTAAGCACCACCAGTGCAACTCGTCAGGGGAATCCTTAGGATTTTCGAGCACTGGGACAAAGACCTAATAAAATGACAATGTCGATGCCATAAGCACAATTTAGAGTATATACATGAAACACATTTAAACCTAGAGTATTGAACTATGGGAGTAAGTAGCTGACCGCTCGAATCTGCGACAGCTTAAAGCTCAGGAGATATTTGGCATACTTGTTACAAATATGTTCATCTTTTCCTTCGTTCAACAACAGTCGATTCTACAATCCAAACAAAAAAACAACAACCATGATCATCATTTGTGCACGTAAATATGACACCCCAAAGCTGAAATGAACCTTGAACCACTTACCGAAAAGCTGGGGGCAAGCAAAATACGCTTGCTTCTGCTCCATAAGTCTTTGGTGGCCCATTGCTTGGTGTATAGCACACTGGCCATTCTAACATAATCACTAGAAACCCGCGATTTATGGTGCACCACTTCATAGCAATCCCTCTGGTTCGCTTCCATGTGGTCACACTTTATCAGCACAATACCAGGGTTATGAAGTGAAGCAACAACATAACACCAAGTATATACATAAACATATTAGAATTTGCAATTAAAATAAAAAATTTACAAAAGGCATGCACAAAAAAGACTTTTCACTCAATTACACGTTTCTGAATTACCTAAGTGGATCCTTCAGGTCCTTCCAGAGCGCTTTACAAATTGCAGCAGACGTGCCTAGACCGTTGTATGGCGTCGGGTGTTTGACACATTGGTGAACATGGCTGACAAGGCTGCCTTTGTAGGTTTCACCACCCTCTTATCCGCAGTTCTGCCCCCCTTCCCAATGGACTCATCTTCCTCATCAGATGAAGATGAATTTGCCAAACTGCACTGAGCATCAACCAACACAGTAGTTCCCCTCGTCCCAACCAAGCCCACAACTATTTCAGGTCCAGGCACCATGTTCTCATCTTCCACTTCAGAATCAGAACAGCAGCCATGGAACTCTGAGACAACACCTTCATCAACCCCATCCACCTTGGATTCATCCCCAACCACCTTGACCTCACCCCCAGCCTCTGCAAACGATGGATCAACCAAAATCTTTTGAACCACACGGTCCAGGTCATCCTCACCTGAAACTATATCAGCAGAAGGATCTTCCCCACCAAGTCCTTTTCCACCTTTTTTTCAGTTGTTCTTTCTCCAACAAACAACTGCCCAAAGCCTGATCTTCATGCACAACAACTTCCCTCTCCATTGGCTTCCCCCTAATCATTAGCTGCGTCAACACACTGTGACATCAACTAATGCATTGATTTCATAACGTCACCTAATTTCAAGTCTATCACAGACATCAACTTTGGAGTAATTCTATCCAACACCTTCAGGAAAACATATTACAAACTATTAACAACTGGCATAGGAAATGTCACTTATTTTATAAAATACAAAGCTACATCTAAAACTATCATTGACTTGCATTATACTTGCCGCGTAATATTTTCCACGTTTACCTCCTGCGTAGTCTGTTGCACGTCAACTCTTTCCACCCTTTGCCTTGGAACCTCCCGAGGAGTCAATGGATGCTCCTCCCCATATGCTATATCCAGAGACTGCAAAAGAATCAAACACAACAGCTTCAACAGTATTCACATCAAATGAAACTCAAACTAATACTAACCAGCAATTTTCCGAATTCCCCAGATTCTTTTTTATCATCGCCAACCGCCTAATTGTTCTTTTCTTCGGACCATGCCTCAAGTCTCGGTCTCACACCCCACCTCATTGAGGGACGTGACTTAGGTGATCTAGATAAAAAAATCTACAAAAAATGGACAGGATGGATGGTTTAGTTCAACTAACCATTACAAACGATAACACTGCAAAAATTTAATAAAATTACTCAAAAAGCTTTTGGTGTACGGTGGCAAATACCCAATTTTACTCACCAACAAAAAAAAGGATACAACCCCCAGAACCTGCAACATATCCATCACAAGCAAATTTCTTTTGGAAACTCCTGGCTGCTACAATCATCCAGTTAAATACATAAGTGCACTAGTCATACTCATCAGCTTCATCAGCTTCACCCCAAGATAACTTGTATTTGCCATAGACACAATAAGTAGCCCAGAGCAGCTATGAGAAAGGCTATCTTGAAATCAGCCTTCTCGTCATCCGACAGTGGTAACACATTAATTACCTTCCTCATCCTTTCGAATTAGTGCCCCCAAAGCAGCTACTAATGAAATGCTATCATTTTTCCCAAACTTTTCCAAAATTCTACTATGCTCTGCCTGCTTATCATCAGGAATCGTACACGGCAATGCCTTCGACCCCATGGGAATCCCAAGTACGTACTCGACCTGAACAAGACTCAAAGGAAGCACACACTCATCTCCAAAAGTTATCGAACCATCACCAATCACCCTTGTCAACAGCTAGTACACAAACTTCTGGGGTACAAAAGTTAGGGGTATACTTAACAACCCTCCAAAACCCATTTATGTGACTAGCTTCTTCCTAGAGTCATCAAACTTCTTCACTGCGGTTGCAAAAGCCTTCACACCATGCAAATTTGGGGCCTACAACATTACATTCAAACAAGACAAACTTCAATCAAATGACACCGGCCCAAGCCTCACAAAATAAAACCACTAACCGATTAAATTCCTTCTAGGTTACTCAAATTCTTCAATTATAAATAATTCCTTTCTAGGTTACCTCAATTTTTTACATTTCCAACTAAATTACAACAAATTACAGCAACTGTCTTTCCATATAAACCAGCTAAAGAGACACTAATTATACAATCCCATTAAAATTACTTGTGAATATTGACGAGGGTTAAATCAGTCGCTACAATCTAACTCTCAATCAAACAATACTTATACGAACACCCTATAACCAAGTACAATGGCAAATAAAGGTTCGGTCCACGAGGAACGAGAGTAATTGCAAATCAATCTTAAACCTAAGCTAGTTCGAAATCAATGGAAAATGGTGTTCTAAAATACTACTAATAAGATGGAATAAATCAATAAACTAAGACACTAGGGAGAACGGGAATTCACCAAACCATCGGTAACTACGCAACAAGGAATCACAGAGACAAACGGGATATGCAAAGACTATATGTCTGATCAATATCACGTGATAGGAAGACAACGGGAAATACTAAGCTTGGATTTCTCATGCACTTAACATTACTCGATACATAATCAATCCACATTCAATAATGAAATACTCAATTCACAATCTCTTGTTCAAATCAAGGATATCATGCAATTAAATTCAAGATTCTAGGTTAGCTACTCCTATTATAATGAATTAACATGCAATCGCATATAATCAATTTAATCACAATCCGTTTATCAAAATCAATCCTCAATTACATAGATTACCTAGGCCGGGTTTCATCCTGAAACCCTAGCTAGGAGACTACTCACACATATTCATAATCAAAGCAATAATGAATTCCAAAAGCATAATAGATATAAACATGAATTCTGATTAAGGAATAATAAAGCTTGATTAATAAACAAGAATGAATAATACCAATTGTATTGATGCGAATCAATGGAAAAGTTCAGAACTTTGATATCCGTCGTCAATGAATAATACAAAGAATCTTCGCAAATCTTGCTTCAAATCAATCCAAGAAAACTAAAATCTCTAGAAATATCTCTAAGAAAACTAATGAATCTCTAATACTAAGAACGTTCTCCAATAACTCTCTACAAAGGCTCTCAAAACTATCTCTCCAAAACTGTCTTTTAATCCTCTTAAAGTTGGGCCTTATATACGTCTTCTAATTCGGAGAAGTCAAGCGCGCAGTTAACCCTGGATCAGCACGGCCGTGCTGTATTTGGCACGGCCGTGCTAGCTTGTCAGTAAGTAAACCGGGTTTCTTCTTCAAATTGGCACGGCCGTGCTATATATGGCACGGCCGTGCAGCTTCCTGGCACGACCGTGCTAAAAATGACACGGCCGTGCTGAATATGCTCTAGCACGGGGCTCATACTGAAGCTGACACGGGCACGGGCAACATCTGGCACGGCCATGTTAATGGCCTGCACGGCCGTGCGGGTGCGTGGAAACTGACACGGCCGTGCTATTGGCTTGCACGGCCGTGCTGCCTTGCCTGGGGTTGCTTGCTTATAGGCCAGCACGGGTGTGCCTATGGTAACACGGCCGTGCTGCCTGTGCTATGTAATCAATGCACGGCACTTGAACTTCCTTAACTCCTCGGACTCCGGTCAAGGCTAGCTCGGTTACGCATCAAGGGCTCGGGATCCGATTAAACTCGGTTGATATTACCTGAAAACACATCAAAAACAAACCGAAAACCCGTGAAGCACGTAATATGGGGAACGTAAGCATAACAAGGTAATAATCGGCCAAAGCGGCCCCAAATACATCCAAAATCATCCTAAAATATGCTCTAAAGCGCGCCCTAAAGTGCGCTTGTCAAAACCCCCCAAGCTACACTTTTGCTAGTCCTCGAGCAAAAACCAAGGGATACACACACACACAGGATCAAATAAACTATTGCCATTACATATAAATCCAATTTAGCACGGAATGAAGTCAATGGATCCTACTTAGAACAACCATGCACGGAATGAAAACTCACTCAAACAAGCAACGAGACACACAATCCAAGGTATCGTTGATCAAAATGCAAAC